CTATCTATCTATCTATCTATCTATCTATCTATCTATCTATCTATCTATCTATCTATCTATCTATCTATCTATCTATCTATCTATCTATCCTATTTCTAAACTGCCCTTCAGATGGAGAATAGCAATTGCAAGTCATAGCAATTGCATCAGTGCACTGGGGAGCATTATTTTCCTCTCTTTTTCTAGATGGAGAAAATTGATTGCAATTTCTTTACGTGTTATTGATCCTCTTCAATTGTGGAAATCCTTGATCAAAGCTCCCAGTTTTGGACTGGAGATAGTTCCATATTTTGGCAAATATGGGAAATAATTTTGTATGAATGTATGAATTATTTCTGTTAAAATAATATCCATGTGGTATTTAGAAATATTGTTAAAATTTGTTAAAAACAAATCCCAAGCTGTAACTACTTTCATTTCAAAAATGTAACTAAATAACATTTAAAAGGAATTTTTGTTAACTAGACTTTTAAAAACAATTCTCATAGCGCCTGTACAAAGCAGCAGGAGAAGACACTTTGCATCACTGTAGGGTAAACCTTGGACTTCCTGAGTTTGAAAGGGCAAAATTGAATGCAGCAAACATTAGTGAGGTAAGTGCTTGCTCTTTAGTCTTGGCCATATTTCTCTTAATAAGTGTTTTAAGCTCTTATTCTATACAGGAGAAGTTGAGAGTTTTACCCATTTTACTGATATGCATGAAATGTAATTGCTATCTTCTGTCCTTGATCCTCTGTCAGAGTAGTTGTGGTTATCTATTACAATTTTAACCTCTGTGTTGCATTTTATATTTGCTGCGATGATTCTTTAGTAGGAAAATCTGACTGCTCTGAGAGCTGATACTTTAAATTCCCTTTTGCATCTATTATATCAGTATCTTAATTTATTGCATTGCTGCATTTAAAATTTGCATATTAGTTTTTTCACTTTTTTATTGAAAATGGTCTTTATGCTGACATTGATTCCAATGTGAATTTTCAGAATTAAATATTCTGTGGTAAGATTGTTATAACGATTGCAGTTGCTTTGGGATGTTAATATTTGGGCAGAAGTACTATCTATCCTGAATTTTTCACCTTCTTTTCCTTCCTATAGTAATGTAGAAGGAGCCCAGAATATGAATAAATGCATGCAAAAATTGATATGGGTGAAAANGATGGGCGGGGGAGCGAGCGAGCTGCGAGCGCCAAAATAAAGCGGTTTTTTTTTAGAACGGCCCGGGACGCAGGAAAAATTATGAAAAGGTGTGCCTATCCCACCAGATGCGGGACGTCTGGTCACCCTACCTTAAATCAAAGGGTAGAAGTTATAAAATTTGCAACCAAGTTATTTGTGGGGTAGTAGCATTATGTAGTAGCAAGGAATCATTCAATTGTAGTTACTTTTATAGGTTCAGCACATTTATCCTATCATCTTGAGGGTAGCCACCATTGCTTTTGTTCAAAATGCCTCAGATGCAGTTTGCTTTGCAACAAAAATGGCCCCAATGTAATTTTCTATAACGCTTGGATGCCATTTATTCTGCACAATAGAATTTGCTACATCTGGGGCATTTTAATTGATTTGATTTCTTCTTGTTAGTGCTATTATCATGGACACCTTTTATGATACCTGCAGATAAAAGAGAAGCTACTGTAAACTGCTTAGAAAGGGTTGGAAAGCACTGTGAAACAGTATATACCATGTTTTTTGGACTATAAGACACACCAGAGTATAAGATGCATCACAATTTTGAAGAGGTAAATTAAAAAAAAAAGTTTTTGCCCTCCCCTTCCCCCAGGAAGACTCTGCAGGGCTCCCAAATCCTCTGTAAAAACGGGGCATGCAGAGAGTTTGGGAGGCCTGCAAAGTGCTCCTGGGGGCCAGGGAGGACAAAAACACAACACATGAGGGGGGGGGGGTTTGGGAGGCAAAAAATCGTGCGTCTTATACTATGGAAAATACAGTAAGTCTAAGTGCTATTTCTACTGCCAATACTAAAATAAAAATTAGTTGAGCTAGGCAAAATAGTTTTGCTTTCCCTAGAGAAGGACCACTTCAGACACATTGGACTAAATCTAGATTAACCTTTTTCAAATTAATCATAGTTCTAATTTGAAACAGTGGGTCCAACTGACAGCTATTCAAGAAGAGCCATGGTGGCGCAGTCGTTAGTACTGCAGGCTAACTCTGGCTACTGCCAGGAGTTCGATCTTGATAGGGCTCAAGGTTGATTCAGCCTTTCATCCTCCTGAGGTTGATAAAATGAGGATCCAGATTGTTGGTGGCAATATGTTGACTCTGTAAACTGCTCAGAGGGGGCTGTAAAGCATTATGAAGCTATATACACATCTAAATGCTATTGCTATTCTATTGCCCAGGCAAAAAAATCAAAACTGAATGCTAATATTACCTTTATCAGTAACAGATTACAGTAACAGAATCTCCGTTCTCCCTTCAATTGCCTTTACTTTCCAGAGAACTATGAGTGTCCCTTCTGAAATATTTGCTCCACCCTCATTTCTTTTTGGCTGAGAAAGCCTTTCTTTGACTGTTGTCTAGGCTTTTGTCCTCTTCCTCCTCCTGTTTCCCAAGGTCATTCTGACATCCATTACTCCAACTGAAGCAGATTTCAAGATTCTGTTGGAAGTCAACACAGCATCACATTTGAACTAACAACGTACAATACTGACTTAGTAGAGACGCCTATTTCATTAGAAACAAGTTAATTTATATTGAACTACACATTCTAGGTATAGGTGCTTGTTCTTTGTAGGGAAGAATATACTTTGAGTGTCACTAAATGGATGTTGGTCTTACTTTTTATTTCCAAACAGACCCACTACAAAGAATCCTGGAATAAAATGCAACATGGTGGTTATAAATTAAAACTGGATGCCATTCCTTTCCAAACAGCAAAGGCTTCTAATCAAATTATAAGTGATGTAAGTTGATTTAGTAACAATGGCAAAGAAATAATTGTAAGGGCATTTTGTTTAGACATTGGAAAAGGACAATGGAAGAAAGCAAAAACCTTTGGAGTATAAAGAATTTCAAATTATTTCCACAAATTTTATGTGCAAATTAAATATTGCTCTGCTAAGTAGACTTGAAATTGATAATGAAACATTATGTCTTTTCTGTATTTTATTTATTTATTTATGGAATTTAATTCAGTAGAAATGGCTCAGAAACAAAGATATCCCCAATTAATTAAAATAGGACCTTGAATTTGTCATCTAGAAGTATACTTACCTATTAAACTTTCCGTTGCAGTCTCCAAAAGTACAATAGCCGTTACATTATTATTATAAAGCCTTTTATTTTAGAACTAGGAAATTCGGATAACAGAGAGAATATATTCTAGTATGGTTTTTGGGCTAAAGTATTCATCTATTGTTCGTCTTATTGCTTAAAACTGGTTTATTGGTTTATTATTATTTAGAATAATTCTATCTTTTCTCCAAGTATATCAAGAGTTTAATTCAGAGATGTTAAGCTCATCTCAGTAATTTTGCAACTCAGATTAGGCCATTATATGGACTTCAACAAATAAAACAAATGAGCAGGTGTAGTGATCTATAGCAATGAGATAACATGTATCTATATTTTCAAGGATTATGTGAATAAATAGAACGCTGTGTTTTTAGTACCACTTCTCCCATAACAATTAGAAGCCAGCTGTTGTTTAAATAAAGTTCATGTTAATAAATTGAATTTCTAAACTCACATCCCCTTTCTTGTAAACCAGATTTGCTTTCGCCTGGATATGGTCATTTGATACATATGGCTTTACGTAAAGTCTTCACTAGCCGAGAAGACAACAAAAAGCAATGGAATAATAGATGTTTTTATTTCACTGTTCATGTTTTTGCTATGTTAATGTTTTATTTTTCTTCCTCAGTTTAAGTATAAGGAGGCATTTGAGAAAATGAGGGGGCAGTTGATTGGTTCCCATGGCTTGGAAGATATAAACATTTCTCACTTGATGCATGCAGCTTTGCTACAAAGTGATGTAAGTGGTACACTAAATAAACTTGTATCACCATATTTTTAATAAGCAAACATTTAATTGGTTAAGAGCAGCACATTCAAAACAATATGTGGATTAGACTTTCATCTCTATTGGCATAAGAATATAATACTCTTGGCAGAATTATCTAATCTAGTCTAGTCTAGTATAATCTAATTATCTATTTAATCCAGTATCAACCAAGCAGATGCCTATCAAAACAAAAGAAAAACAGAATGCATGGAGAAGACATCAATACCATAATTCCTTTTGCCATCTTTCTTCAGTAACTGGAGTCACGGCCAAGATGCCTCCAGAATATCCACGTAGCCAGCATTATTTAAGCCATTATTTAAGACAAGATAGCCTTGTCTTCCCTAAATAGGTTCTTAAGCTATATGAGTCATTGTGCATTATAACAGGCTCCTCAAACCCTGGTCCGTGGACTAGCACCGGTCTGCAGCATGCCAGAATTCGGCCATGCAAACAAGCTAAGACTCATTCGTGGGATGCAGGCAGAACATGAAACCACATCCCCTTTGGTCCACGGAAAAAATTCTCTCCACAGAACTGGTTCCTGGTGCCCAAAAGGTTGAAGGCTGTGCATCATAAGATCTTTTTTCTGTGAGGATACACAGGTCCAACAAAATGAGCAAAAAATAAAAATGCTTACCTTACTACTGCACCAATATTAGGAATGGATACAATCAGGAACAATGTAAAAAGAAGACGTAAGGAGAAAAGTGAAGAGGACAAAGGATAGTAGTGCTTCTAATTTTCTAGCAAGATGATGATGATGATGATGATGATGATGATGATGATGATGATGATGATATTCATTCAATCATGTCATATTTTTGGTGATTCTATAGATCAGTTCTCTCCATATTTTCTGATTTTGTACTGCTTCTTTCAGTTGTTTTATGCTCTGGCTAGTGTTGGTTTTGCTCACAAATATAATACAGACATTTTTCATTGAAAAACAGTTTTGAAATTATTAGAAAGACTTCTAAAGTAATACTCATATGCTTAGGAACAGGATTCAGTAATGTGCACATAATGCATGCCAAGCTTCTTGAGGAGCAAATAATAACAATGCATTCTAGTGACCAGTTCTTTCCTATGATTATATTATAATTTTATGCCTGTTTCCTAGTTATTATTATTATTATTATTATTAATAATAATAATAATAATAATAA